GAGAGTTGGGAGGGAGAGAAGGGGAAAGAGAGAGTGAGTGTCATTTCTGGGGAGGAGAGGGTTAACCCCTGCTGTGTGTGTGTGTGTGGGGAGGAGAGAGTTAACCCCTGCTGAGTGTGGGGAGGAGAGGGTTAACCCCTGCTGGGTGTGGGGAGGAGAGGGTTAACCCCTGCTGGGTGTGGGGAGGAGAGGGTTAACCCCTGCTGGGAGTGGAGAGGAGAGGGTTAACCCCTGCTGTGTGTGGGTGGGAGGAGAGGGTTAACCCCTGCTGTGTGGGGGTGGGGAGGAGAGGGTTAACCCCTGCTGTGTGTGGGTGGGGAGGAGAGGGTTAACCCCTGCTGTGTGGGGGGGGGAGGAGAGGGTTAACCCCTGCTGTGTGGGGGGAGGAGGGGGTTAACCCCTGCTGTGTGGGGGGGGAGGAGGGGGTTAACCCCTTCTGTGTGGGGGGGAGGAGGGGTTAACCCCTGTGGGGGGGGGGAGGAGAGGGTTAACCCCTGCTGTGTGGGGGGGGGAGGAGGGGGTTAACCCCTGCTGTGGGGGGGGGAGGAGGGGTTAACCCCTGTGTGGGGGGGAGGAGGGGTTAACCCCTGTGTGGGGGGGAGGAGGGTTAACCCCTGTGTGGGGGGGAGGAGGGTTAACCCCTGTGTGGGGGGGGAGGGGGGTTAACCCCTGTGTGGGGGGGAGGAGGGGGTTAACCCCTGTGGGGGGGGGAGGAGGGGGTTAACCCCTGTGGGGGGGGAGGAGGGGGTTAACCCCTGTGGGGGGGGAGGAGGGGGTTAACCCCTGTGGGGGGGGGGAGGGGGTTAACCCCTGTGGGGGGGGAGGAGGTGGTTAACCCCTGTGGGGGGGGAGGAGGGGGTTAACCCTGTGGGGGGGGAGGAGGGGGTTAACCCCTGGGGGGGGGAGGAGGGGGTTAACCCCGGGGGGGGGAGGAGGGGGTTAACCCCTGTGGGGGGGGAGGAGGGGGTTAACCCCTGGGGGGGGAGGAGGGGGTTAACCCCTGGGGGGGGGAGGAGGGGGTTAACCCCTGGGGGGGGGAGGAGGGGGTTAACCCCTGGGGGGGAGGAGGGGGTTAACCCCTGGGGGGGGAGGAGGGGGTTAACCCCGGTGGGGGGGGGAGGAGGGGGTTAACCCCGGGGGGGGGAGGAGGGGGTTAACCCCTGGGGGGGGGGAGGAGGGGGTTAACCCCTGGGGGGGGAGGAGGGGGTTAACCCCTGGGGGGGGGAGGAGGGGGTTAACCCCTGGGGGGGGGGGAGGAGGGGGTTAACCCCGGGGGGGGGGGAGGAGGGGGTTAACCCCGGGGGGGGGGGGAGCACGTGCTGTGGGGTTCAGGTAAAGGTTCCGACGTCGCCTCGAGAGAGATTGGACGGTTTTGTTCAAAGCCGGCAGAGAGAAGGATGAGGTGAGGGTACAGGAGGTCAGAGGGTGAGTGGAGAGGATACAGGAGTCGGGAGAGTTGAGAGAGAGAAAGGGAGTACGGAGTGAGTGAGAGAGAGGTACAGAGAGAGGTACAGAGAGGGAGTGAGTGTGTGAGAGAGAGACAGAGAGAGTACAAGAATGTTAGAGAGGTACAGAGACAGCTCTACATCTCCACAGGGACTGCAGTGTCGAATGATAAGGTAAGCTGACACCTCTGTCATCACATCCGTCCAGCCGGATCCTGCCAGCGGTCAAGCTGCACACTCCTAGGTCACAGTCCTGTCACCGCTCCTGACACCCTGGTCACTGCTCGTCAGCTCCTGGTACAGTCCTGTACGCTCTGTTCCAAACTCCCTCTTTGCTGACGCTTTTGTTTAAAGCTTTATTTTGGGGTTCATTTCATCCTCTCCCCCCCCACACCCCCACCCCCACCCACCCACCCCTATATGATGGTGAACAGCACTACCCCCTCTCCACCCCCCACCCTCTCTCTCTCTCTCTCTGCTTGCATTGATTCCCAGAGCCCGACTGACCCGCGGACTGAGACCCAACAGAACTCGGGGTTTCCTCTTTTTGTTCCACACTGATCCTGAACGAATTCCCGAAGTCTCCCTGAAGGAATGTCAACGCAATGGTCGCGCTTCAGGAAGAGCATTCGCTCGGATCTGCCCGGTGTCCAAACCACTGCTGTGCCCGGTGTCCAAACCACTGCTGTGCCCGGTGTCCAAACCACTGCTGTGCCCGGTGTCCAAACCACTGCTGTGCCCGGTGTCCAAGCCACTGCTGTGCCCGGTCGGTGTCCAAGCCACTGCTGTGCCCGGTGTCCAAACCACTGCTGTGCCCGGTGTTCCAGCCTCTGATCAGTTGCACTCAAGTGACTGCATTTTTTTTTGCAATAATTCAATGGCGGGTGGGGGGGAAATCCTGAAGGTGGGAATTTACTCTGTGCCCTTCTCGGATGGGAACTGAAATGAAATGGTGGCGTCTCTGTCTGGTGCTCAAGATCAATTCGGTTCAGGTGTTGCTGCAGATAGTTATTGGTGGACACCAGCGATCTAGGAGCAAGACAGAAAACTAGGGGATTAGCAAAATAAAAGCAAACCGGTGTTTTACCAATCTCATTAAAAGGCTTTTCTGCCTTGCTGTTTGCCTCAATAAAAGTTTACAAAGAATGCACAACATGGAAAGAGCACTCGGCCCAACCAGTCCGTGCCGGTGTTTGTACATCATGCATGTTTCTGCTCATTCCTTTACTCCCTCCCAGTCTTCTATTCCCTTCTTCCTCATTTGAAGGTCTAGCTTCCTCCTGAACGCATTTACACTATTTGATTCAACCATTCACAATTGATCCACAATCTTACGATCCTCTGCATGAAGTCGTTCTTCCTAAATTCTCGTTTAGATTCCCGAGTCGCTATCCTGTACAGTATTTGTTTCCCCTGGTTAAGGTCTCCTAATTAATGGAAACAGCCTATTTATATTAACCTTATCAAACCTTTTTAAATACCAATGAATTAAAAACATAAGTTACAGAAAAATTATCAGTTATTTTTGGAGCTGTTGACTTTGTTAACAGAAATAAGAGGTATCCCAGTTAGTAACTTTATGGCAACATTTACTTTAACGTTCTTGTACATTTTTTTTAAAAAAAAGTTCAGTTCTTTTGACGTAACTGATTTTTTTTTTAAAAAAAAGCAAAAAACATACTCCTGTTTTATATTGTGGAACAAAAGTTTTAAGCCCTATCAGTTTTTTTCAAAAGGCTACGCAATTAGCCCTGGCGATGTGCAACTGAGATGTTAATAGTAATCCTTGTGTTTGATATGGCACCTTATCACCTCGTTGAGATGTTCTCAAAGTGCTTCACGGGATCTCCTGTAATATTGAGAGTATAGGGTTGGAATCTGCTACGGTTGAACGTCCTGCAGAGCAATTACTTACTCTCGGAGCAGGGATTAGTGGCTGATAACTTGTGGGAATCTGCTCTGGTGTTTTCACAAGCACAGTATAACCCGAAACAAAATATAAGAACATAAGAACGTAAGAATTAGGAGCAGGAGTCGGCCATTCGGCCCCTCGAGCCCGTGCCCCGCCATTCGATAAGATCGTGGCTGATCTTCAGACCTAACTCTAATTACCTGCCCTATTCCCATATCCCCGAATCCCTCTGTTTTTTAAAAAAATATTGCCAAATGAAGCTAAAGCTTTGAGACACAGGTGGAGATCCACTAAATCTTCACTGGCTACACAATAATAAATAATAATAACAATTCTTGCATTTGATACAGCGCCTTATCAACTCTTCCAGACGTCTCAAAGAGATACAGTCGCAAGAAACTAATACAAAATTGCCCTTTAAGGCAAACACAAGTCCCCGGGTTCTCCGAACTGACATAGACCTTGAAGTTTTACATTCATTACATCGTTGTTTTCCTATGCAGAGTGTTTTGTTTTTGGCATTGCGTTTCCGACGCGCTCCAGTGCGCTCCCTCCCTCTCTCTCAGAGTATTCTTCTACCTCATTAACTGTTCAGTTGAGATGTTTCAAGATGTTTAGCCGAGACATGGCACAACGGTAAGTTTCAGATACTTGTCCAGCCCTGTTACATCAGCAGTTAGGCTCTGTTCTGCTTTGAGAAAACACATCTATTGCCTCCCAAATCTCAGGAACATCAAGCATCTCCCTCAGTAGAGGATATTTAAGACGGGGGTTACTTTTTTTCATTATTAAAAAAAAGTCTTTGAAAGAGGCTTCAACTTTGATTCTTCTGGTTTTAAGCATTTAGTTCGGATCGGGAACCTGCATCCGGTTCAAAGAAAATGTGACGGTAGGGCCAGAGTTTGAACCTGTTGGTTTGTTTTAAGCTCAAATTCCTCACGTTTGAAATGCCCGTATTTTGGCCCAAACGTTCATCAACAACAACAACAAATAACAAAATGACATTTGTACAGAGCGCCTTTCACGTCTGGAGGACTCGAGCTGGGGGTCGAGATCGGGGAGAGGGGGTGAAGGAGGGTGACCGACAGCACGGTCGAAGAGGAGGGTCTTAACACAGGTCTTGGAGGAGGCAAGGGAGGGGGCGAGGCAGAGGGACTGCGGGATGGAGTTCCAGAGGTTGGGGGCAAAGTGACTGAAAGCCCGCCCACCAATGGTGAGGCGGGGGACATGAAGCAGGCGGGAGCCCACTGAGCGGAGGGAGCGGGCAGGTTGGTAGGAGGTTAGGAGGTCACAGTGGTAGGGGGGAGCGAGGCCATGGAGGGCTTTGAAAGTGAGGACCAGGATCTTGAACTGTATCTGTTCAGTAAGTTGGATTGGAGCTACTGTTACTCGTTAGGCAGTTGGATAGGACAGTGCCTCCAAATCAAACAGGAGATATGTGTTTGCCTGTGATGTGGATATTGTGCCTAGTTGGAAAGAATAGGGAGGGAATAAAACCTTCCATCTGCACAGCAGGTACAAGTAGATTCTGTTTACTGAAGCCAGTAATTGTAAGGGGTACTGGACATGCTTTTGAATCACAGAGAACTAACTGAATATTCATACTTTCCCAATTAGCTATTCCACATCAGGGAAGGAACACGATGGCAACAGAAGAATACCAGGAAGAAGATGCTTTTTGTTTCAATGTCGGAGGCTGGTTCTTTTCTGTCCCCAAATCAAAGCTTTCGCAATTCCAAGACTCCGTGTTATGGCAAGAAGCTTCCAGCCTTGCTCTGTCTGAAGAAGCCAGGCTTTTCATCGATCGAGATGGATATACATTTCGTCACGTCCACTATTACCTACATACGTCAAAGCTCTCTTTCTCCTGCTTCTCAGAAATCAGACTGCTGTATGAGCAAGCAACAGCAATGTGTCTGACATCTTTACAACAGGTAACAGCTGTCGAGAAACCGTATAGCAGGATGCACAACATTATACTGGGTGAATCAGAGATCCTTACTCATGACGTTTTAAATTATTCATTATGTTTTTTTTTAAGACAACATTCGTAGAAAGTGTCCAGCTATTTCATTGCGTTCGTGAAAGTATTTGTCACCGAGTTGATGTGTTTAAATGTCTGCATGACATGCAGTTTGAACATCTCCTATAGACACCTATGTTAGAAGTAAGCACTTTTGATTCACCCTGTCTAGTTGAAAAAGCCTAGATAGTATTCTTTTATGCTAACACTTTGCTCCTTGTAGAGAGTGTCTCCTCGAGACATCATCCTGTGGTCCTTTGGCATGGCTGTTGTCCAGAGAAGACCCTCTGTGTGCCATTTTGCAAACCAAGAGAACCAACTTGTGACTAATAACAGGAAAATGTCCTCGTGTAGGTAGGCACCATCCATTTGTGGAACTCTGGTTTGGATACTCTCAAGGTGCAAAATGGTGATGGGTTTCCACGTGTATCAAAAAGAAATAGAGCGTTACTAATTATACGGGAAGAAAAAGAATCTGTAGCAAAATGTAGGTATTGAGACATTTTTATAACACGTGCTGTTAATTTGCCATCTTACTTTAATAGGCTTTGGATAATATGAAGGAGGGGAGGCATCATTTGCGTATACGTCCTGCAGATGTGCCCATCACTAAGAGAGCGAGCAGAAATTACTGGCGTACCAGGTGTAACAGCAAGCCTTCAGAGTTCCAGATTAAAAGTCCAGCGTTCACAGGTTGTTCAACATCCGAACAGATAGTTTCTGCAATTTTCCTTATTGTGCATTTTAACCAGCCACGACTGGATACTCTCAAGATATAAGATGGTGATGGGTTTCCATGTGTATCGAAAAAAGTTACTTTTACACATGGTGGTTTGTTTGCTGGTAACCATTTGCCAAAGTTAATCGAATAATCTAATCTGTGGCCATCCTTATTTGTTCTGATCAGATTCCTACTAAAGAACCTCAAGGTTGGCTTTCTGGAAATTGAGAATTAAACCCCTTACACAGCTGTACAGCCAATTCTGCTCAGGTGGCAACATGGCATTTTCCGATTGTACGACTACCAACTAGACATCATGTAAAACCATCCAATCTTATCTCAGGCTCTCAACGAGCAGGAAATTAGCCTCTTCTCACCAGGTGTCTACGATCCAATGTTCCTCACAAACTGCAACACAATGGTGCAGAGCAGAAGAGGCTCCTCATTGTACAGGAACGCACTCCCTGAATCTATAACCCCCAGGAGCTGGTATATTCCCCGCCCCGAACCATTGGAAAAGGGAATAAATGTAAATACATTGTAATCTGTGGTAAGTGCAGATCTATCGATTACATCCTCGGCTTTGGGAGATTAAACTACCTTTTTGTTGTTTTTAGGACTGCATGATAAGGCTCCACTGGGGTTGATAGACACCCCACTGCTGGACACTGAAGAAGTCGTGCAGTGGTATTTCCTCTCTTTAGACCTGGTGAAGAAGTACCCCACTTTAATCAATGATGACAACCTCCTGTGGCTGTGTGAGGGGGTGGTCCTGATCGAGATCGGATGGAGTCATTTCCGATTTATAGGTATTTAATCATCACTTGTGATATTATCAAATGCAGTTTTAAAAAAAAGAAGCAAAATGTTCTCCTTCAAGACTGTGGAGTCCTGTAGTTTAGTGGTTAGAGCACTCGAGAGGACCTGGGTTCGATTCCCGGGCAGACCAAAATATTGGACCAGTTTCCTTACTCCACATGCCTTTGTTCACCGAGCGGTAAATAGGAACCCAGTTGATAGTCGATTTCCGGATCACTTTTCCAAAGGTAATAATCCCTTCTAAATAAAAAAAATTAATTTGGTCACTCAATGCACGACTGTTTGTGGGATACAACTATGTGCAATTGGCTGCTGAGTTTTGCACACAAAACCTCGCCAATTCATTTTGCAATATATTCTGTGAGACATCCCGAAGCCCGTGATAAGGAACTATATCAAATGCAAGGATTATTATTGCTTAATATTAGATATTGACATTTCTGAAGTAATATTTATATCAAATAAAAGCACTTGGAGACAAATGGTTGGTTAAACAAACTTGCCACTTCCACAGATCTAATGTCTAATGTTTCAGCATGTTTTATTCCAGAGCAGTAACAATAAACAAAAACGCTAGCATCTATTCTTGTATTTTGAGTAAATAACATTGCTGTGGTACCAAAGCCATTTCCATTGCAAAGTTTGTCAACATCAATCCCTGCAATCCTCATAATCTTAAAATTAAAGCTGGGCCTTTTAGGAGTGAAATCAGGAAGCACTTTTCTCCCAAAGGGTCAGTCATGGAATGGCGGAAGAGGCTCGAGGGGCTGAATGGCCTCCTTCTGTTCCTATGCAATCTATTTCCAACCAGACACTTATCCAGATCTTTTTGGAAAAAGGTTATTGACTACTTCTGGGACTCTTTCATTCGAGGATGTGTGAATTGGTAAAGTATGGTGCACTGACTTGATCTGTGGAATCTTTGATTTGAAGTCAGTCTGGACACAAGGGTCTGTTGGGTGTTAGGATCCAATGCTATGTTTTAAAACTGATTAGAGAACAGTGTGACCCACAAGATCGAATTGATGCTAGAATTGCGACTTATTGCGACCTTGTTCATCATGATTGATCCTGGACAGAAGGTGTTAGCAGAGTTGATTGAAAGTTATGTAACTCGGGTCGATAGTGTCCTCACCAGGCTCCCACACATGCACATCCCTCGCGTGGAAATATTTCTGTGCTTCATTAACATTTTACTATTAACTAAAGGCCAGCGTAATTCTGCCCTTTGCAAGGTTAGTAGTTAGCATTAAGTTTGAATCGTAAATGTGGTTTATACATTTTCTAGCAAATTTCCTTCAGACTGGGAAGCTCCTTGTGCCTAAGAAATTTTCCGAGCTGGATGCTCTTGTTAATGAGGCCGAGATCTTGCAACTGCCAGAGCTTGTTAAAGCCGTGAAATCATACAGGGTGGACGTTGGTGAGTCAACAGCAGAGTTATCGTAGTCTGTAGGGTTTTGAGAGCAAAATATATAGAAACGAAAAACCCACTTGAATTAGTTCCAGTTGGGTTCTGCGAATCTTGCGCTATTAATGGAAATTGTGTGACTTGTATCAGTGCTGACTTTTTTTTGGTTACAGATCATTGATTTATTAACTGATGGCCACCTACTATCAACAACTTTCTGACTCTTAATTGAGATTGGCTAGCTGTATAGACTGAGGATCAAACCCAGAGATTTGATTCACTTTCACTCACTCCTGCACTGACCAGAATATTTATTATTTATTGGCACCAACAACTTTTCCAAACCTGCACATATGATTTTTAGTGGTAACTGCTTTAAAAGTTCCTATAGAGGGTCCAGGGATTCATTTGTTTTATTGAATCGGGCATAATCTGCTATAAATTTCTATGTAATATCTTATACTTTATTAGATATCTAACAACTGAGCCTCAACACTTGGACCAGCAGGAGTAACCTTACCCCAAATTCACATCTCTTCTAAATTCCTGAGATTCAGAGTTTTTACAATTAGTGATTTTAAAGTCAAATGTTAGTTAAACTCCAAAACTCAACAGCCTCCATATAATAACTCCACTCCCTCTCCTTTTATATCTCAAATGGGTCCAATCAGTTCTCCGTACTTTGACAAACTCAACTCCTAATCGACCGAGAATTACCTCCTTCAATAAACCCTTCGTACTTTGACAGATCGAAAACATAAACTCATTAACTAAACTATTAACTATCGTCCAGACTCGAAGACTCCAGACAAGACCATAAAATCCATTAACTCACAAAATTTAATAAAAAAAGCCATAAACCGAAAGCACTTAAACCAACATTTTTACACCTTCAGGGAGATAGATTGATATCTCAATCTAACAAATTCAACAGACTATCTGGCTCCCAACATCTGTGACAGTCTCTCTGACCCCAAATATTCATCCTATTTCGATTAACCCTTACCTACCTCACACTCTCATCATGCCATGATATTATGGTGGTTCAAAAGAGGCAATCATCAGTGATCCCTAGTTTATGCGAATGAATTTTTCATCTTTATTTTACATCATCACTATAAGACATAATACATACCATAAATACTTCTGCTTGTAGACTTAATGCAATGAATTGATCTCGATCTCTTTGTTCACAGGTGAGAATCCTAAGGACATTACAAGTCCAGTCAGTTCTTTGCATTACACTGAAGGGTACTGTAACCCTGTGTGCAATACTCCAGAGAAGCCATTGTATGTCCTTGTCCTGGAATTGTTAGTTAAATACCCCGATTCAGCATTGGGACAACTCTGCATTGAGAGCAGCCTCAACGGGATGAAGCTGTATATTTTTGGCAATGGTGTTCTCTTTAAACATGTCAGGTGCTTATATCATCTCTTTATTTCTGCAGTAATAATAATAATAATCCTTGCATTTGATATAGCGCTTTTCACGTCTTCTTGACGTCTCAAAGCGCATCACAGAACAGACTGTAAAGTGAATTGACTGTATATTTGTGGACGAAACGCGGCAGCCAATTGCGCAGAGCAGTGTCTCACAAACAGTCGTGGATTGAAAATGACCAATTTATTGTTTTTTGGTTTTTTTGGAGGGATTATTATTAGACGTGTGGAGTAAGGAAACTTAAGTGAAAACGTCGAAAGGAACTCAATCCAACCAGGATCAAATGGTTGATTTTTGATTTTTATAGATATTTCTTAGTTGTCAATATTCAACATACCATCATAACCCTTCAAAGGATAAACAGTGGATCCAAAAAAATCAGTACCTACTAGGATTTGTTTCAACCTATCTGGATATCTTTTCTTTTTTTAAAAAAATATTTAGAGACGAGCCTTTTCATTAATTCTTAAGAATTAATAATCAGGAAAAGAGGGTGTGTTTGTCTGTGTGTTTATCTCTTCGCCCTCCCTCCCCACCACCTCCACCTCGTGTGTATGTGTCTGTGTGTTTCTCCCTCTCTCTCAAGACGATTTCATCTTCCCCTCCCCCATAGTATGTAACATCTGGAAAACCTACGTAGAGCAACTTTGTCTTTTACTGTTTTACATGTAACCTTGTCAAGGATTTCCCGGCAGGGCAAAAGGTTGGGCAAGTTTCCTTGCTCCACATGCCTGATAATAATCCCTCAAGAGAAAACAAATAATAAATTGGTCACTTCAATCCACGACTGTTTGTGGGACATTGCTGTGCCCAATTGGCTGCCGTGTTTCGCCCACAAATATACAGTCAATTCACTTTATAGTATATTCTGTGAAGCGCTTTCAGACGTCTAGAATACATGAAAAGCGCTATATCAAATGCAAGGATTATTACTCTAAGAAATGTATTTGTTTCATTGCATGTATTGCAGTACAGCGTGAAGTTTAACCCACTGATTTGACACGATTCAGTTGCAGACTAACAAAGCACTTAATTTTTTGTAGCGCGTATATAATCACAAATGGTCACAGGATTGTCTGGTTAGGTTTATGAACAAAACATTAGCAGTTAAGGTTTTTTTTTGAGCTTGGCTTTGTTAGCAGTGTTGACCCAACTGGAGATGTTGTGTTATTTGTGTCTTCAGAAGCTGGCTGGGAACCTGCCGCCTGCCTTTAACTGAAGACGTCTCCCAGATGGGTGCAGTGTGTGTGTACCTGGACAGACACGACTGCCTGTACCGGCCTGTGAAGGATGCCATGCGACTGTATCTACAGAAACGGAAAAGCGAGACACTTGGCCCAGGCTTTACTATGGGTGAGTTTGGTTGAGATACTTAATGGAGAATCTATTGCATGATCGCGCTACCTTGAAGCTTTTGGTTACCCCAGTTCCATATTCCAGACCCCGTGGTCTTACGTAATAAACCCCTGGTTTATTTTTATTGGATACCGTGCTGATAGTATTGTTATCTGTAGGAAAATAAATGTAAAACAACAGTCAGGTTACAGTGCTGTTTATAAAGGTCATTCAGTTGAATGCTATTTTCTATAATAATTTAGAATTTGAGCAATGCCGTCAATCCTGTTTTCAGCAACCACTCGGGCCTGGACTAATGGAAGGGTGGCCTCTGAGTAAGGGTTCGTTGCCCAAGGCCCAATTTTTTTTTGATTCCACCAGCCAAAGATTTCCATGGGCCTCCTTATAGCCTCCCACTGTGCTCCGAGTGTATTTATCAACGCCCAACTCACCGTGAGCTGAGAAGCTGTGAGCATTCACTTACATTCACTTGGCCACTGAAAAGTGTCTGAACAGTGACAGGGCCATAAAAATGCATGACCACTAGATTCATTAGACGGGCGGTTTCTGAACAGAGGTGGTTTGTCGTGGAAAATCGGTCGGGACTGCAGGGTGGTTCTCGACTGGAGTTGGTTGCTGAACAGAGGTGGTTGCTTTAAACAGGTGTGACTGCAATTTCTTTCTGGTTTTCCGATGCATTTATTTAAGGCGCAGTGGAGGATAGCTGGACACCCGAGGTGGATATCCATACTCTTCACCAGATCGTGAAGGTTTATGTGGGAAACTATTGGTATGCCACTTACCTGAAGACCTTTCTGAAGGTACCTCAATACAGTTCTGTCTCCACTTGTATAACCCATACTTTGTGTCACCAATTCATTTGGCACTGACAACAGCCCTGCTTCGTACAATAAATGTAACCATCATTGCTGTTTTCTTGATCAAACCAATAAAATAGGAGAAGCAAGAGGGGTTAAAAAGACTTAGTTAAAGATTAATGTTATCTTGGCTATTAAATGTTCCTTCATTTACTAGCCTTTTAATGGAGAGCATCTCTCCAGTTAGTATTGGCAGTCTATGACCTGATTGCTCGATCTAGTAGCTTTTTGTTACCCCAGTTCCTTTTTCAGACCTCATGGTCTTACGTAATAAACCCCTGGTTTATTTTTAATGGACACTGCTAATAGCATTGGTATCCATACTAAAATAAATCTCTCTCTGTAGGAATACTGGAGTGTGCTTCAGTTAAATTGCTGCATTGTTTGGCGTTTTAAATTCATTCATTAAAAAGGAATGTACAAAATCAAAAAGCGTTGTTCATTTTTCAAAATGAATTGTCAACGTTGCCATTTTCTTCAAACAAGGTTTACAGAAATTAGGTCTCATCACCTGAGCAAAAGTGTGATTTTTAACATCTAAATGTTTGTCCTTCCGGTGTTGATTTATTGTTATCGATACGGTTATTAAAGAATATTTTCGGAGACTGAATGCTGTGAAGTAAATTTGGAAATTGAATGTTATGTTAAAGAGTACCACATTTGTACAAGTGAGGTTAGAACCTATCGTATTCATTGTGTTTGTTTGATCTGAAATAGTGGCTGATCTTGACCTCATGTCCCGATTTATTGAATGTCAAATGAAACTTTTACACATCAATTTCAGAAAGTTGTAAACTAATTGGATTGTATCTGCTATGACTTTTGCCTGTCAGTACCCAGAGCTCCTCGCCAACCCTAACAAAGCACAATGGATTGCATACGGCAAGACACTTTTCATCAGTGGGGACGGTCAGATGTTCAGGCATATTATCAACTTCTTGAGGCTTGACAAACTGTACATCCCTTCAGGATTCAAGTGAGAGCATGACATTTACAATAGTGGAGTGTGAATATTACGGTAGCTATAGTAACATAACTGCTGATGGATTACAGCACACAATGGCTGGCACTTCAGAATGCTGGGGTCCAGCACATTTTGCATTGGTGCTGGGAACTTGTACGTTTGCAGCAAAAACGTGGACGTATCAGTTAATTACGTGTTGTGATCCCCGAAATCATTGCCAGAGGCGCTGTCCTTCGGATGAGCCGTTCAACCGAGGTCCTGTCTGCTCGTTCAGGTGGACTTTAAGGTCTCATGGCACAACTCGAAAAGAAGAGGGAGTTTGTCCCGGTGTCTTGCCAACAATCCTCCAGATGAATTGGTTATTCGCCTAATTGCTGTTTCTGGATCTTGCTTTGCGCAAATTGGCTGTCGCATTTACCAACAACTAGTGGTTACAGTTGACAGCAATTGGCTTTGAACTGCTTTTTGACATACGTACTGTAATCAAACACAAAGGTGATCCATATCGTAGTACCATTTTTTTACTAACATTACCGTAACATTTTTTTACAAAGTGATCATTTATACAAAATAAATTTTAAACCTAATGACGCTGCATTGCTGATTAATGTCATGTTGATTTTTGTTATTTATCTTTCAAACCGTTTAGAGAATGGCCATTACTGTGTCAAGAAATCGAAGAGTGTAAAATTCCTGCCCTTTCTGAAGCCATGCGTCAATGCGAGTCATACAGGTAATGCTCAATTCGTAAATTAACTTCAGTCACATTTCAGAGGTAAAATTGGTCATTCACTTGTTGATGAACTGTGTGGCACTGCTGTGCGCAAATTGGCTGCTGCGTTCACTTACAAAATACATAATGTAGTTGTCCTGGGAAACACTCTGCTTTATGTGATTTGAGATGTCTCAAACCCAAGGATTATGCTTTATAAATGTTATTTGTGTTTGTTGTGGAATTGCCATCAGATTATTTCAGGCCCATTTCAGAGCAAGAAATTGTTGAAATTGTCTCCTGTGTCTCTGCACCTCCTCATGGATTGTGTTTCACAATAAACAACAATAATAATAACCCTTGCATTTGACATAGCGGCTCATCGCGTCTGTGAGACGTCTCAAAGCGCTTCACAGAATGTATTGCAAGGTGAATTGACTGTATATTTTGTGGGCGAAACGCGGCAGCCAATTACTTCATGATGGAAGTAGAATGTCGGAAGCTTTGCTGACCATCTTTTAATTCGTTTAGAATGTGGTGCGGAGAAAACGATGCAGAAAGTGTTGCGTCGATCTCGTCGGTGGAATCCAGCGCTGGTTTTGAAGAGGAGGAGAATGTTTTGGATCGGCTCGTACAGAAGGTATCGCGTTTTGCTCTTGAAGTACAGGTTAAATTAGCGCAGGGTACAGAGAGGGTGAATACTGACCATTTTATTGAAATATCTTTATTTTTTGGTGAAGGTAGGATATGTGGGTTTAAGTGCTCCGAGCCACCGTCCGGCGTGAAGGGCGCTATATAAAATCAAAAATGTTGTTATTTCAGCAAAAGTTTAAGATTTTGGTTGTGAGCCTGAATATGGCAAATAGTCACACCTGAAATGGTAACCTCATTTTCTCTTTGACCCGCTGATTGATGTGCTGTCAAGCTCATCTGCTTTATCGTAGCGGAATGCTTACACTTTGATAACTTACCGTGGGCAAGTGCTAAGTTGTATTTTACGAAATGGATAAATTCAAGAGGAAGCCTGACCTTCCTATGAGGGAGAGGGGAATAAAAGTCGTGGGAAGAAGGGGACGGAGACTTGTGTGGAGTATAAACACTGGGAAGGACTCGTTGCCTGTTTCCATGCTGTAGGTTCTTTGTAAATCTTTGAAGAAACACAGTTATTCTTTTGAGGTTTATACCAGCAATGGTGCCATCTGCTGGTACAGCCCACCAGGCTGTTTTTACAAATGAACCAACTTTCGTGCAGAAACACTTTTCACATCACAAAGTTAGAAAAGCTTTGTTCTCTTTCTGTGATCACACCCAACCCTGTGAATTAAGGGTAAAGTATTAAGAATTAAGGGTAAAGTAGGTCTAAAATTAAACCAATTCCTCTTCTGCAACGTTTAACACTACACAGCTCATTAGCCCTCTCGGGCTCATTAATGGAGAATAAAAAGTCTATTTTGAGGGGCAAACATTCGGACACCAAAGTACAAATAATTTTACAAGGAATGGAAACACAGAAACCTGGAACAGATCTTGTTTTTGCCTTGCGCAGATCACCACAGTGTTTCTAAAGATAAACTGCATCAGCATTTAATAACATGGTTCAATTCTGATCTTTCACAGAAAAGGAATGATATTATGATCGGAACCAATAAATCCTCCACTCTGGAAATGAAGCCAAGAGTTTGGGACCAGTTTGATCCCAGTGGCAACACGGTACAGTGCCTAGTTAACCCGACAGTGAAATCGGAATTGATTGGACAAACCGAGGCTAACCAGGAGAAGCTCTCGCTTGCCAACTTCCCTGTTACAACGCCAACAGCCGAAGATTCTGCAAAGCAAGGCTTGCTTGGTGCCGATGGCTGTTTACAGTGTAATTTTATTAGCACATCAATATGGAATGGTGAGCAAAGGACAGTATGTTCTGAGAAACTTGAAAATGTGTGTGTACGTGTAGAGAAGAGACCTTAGATGTAAATTTAAGACATTTGGATAACATTCTAAAAATATGATGTCGAAATCCTATCCAATGAAATCAAAATAATTGATTTTACTACAATTAACTAAATGTGGGAGCAGATACTCGCGCATGTTATTGTGCTATTTTGTGTGCCTTTGCTATTCCCTTTCAACCCCTCTGAACAGTCCTTCCAACAGGAACATTCCTCCGTAGGAAAAATTTTGAACGTTGAATACTCCAAATACCAGATCGTTGTTACGCCAACGTATAATCCATCCAATGCAATATTTCTATTGTTGCAGGAAAGGAATTTGACGAGTCTATGGAATGTAATAATTTTGATGCTTGGCCACTCAGCGCTGGATTCATTCTAAAAGTTCACCACCCTCTTTTGCTGGGGAATGACGGCAGCTCTGTCTTTTACACAGACGGTGTGTTATATATGGAGAAGCCGATTGACATAGGTGCAGTATGACAAACTCAGAATAGAAGCTTTAACTGTTTCTGTTTTTTTTGAAGGGTTATATACTGCTGTATAACAGGGTGTTTTAAACCAGGCGCACACTTTATCCAGATCAACAAAAAATTGGATTGACGTAGCTTTTTTTTTGTAAGGACATCTCCTCGCACTTTACAGAGACTTACTTAGTAGTGGGAGCCTGAGCTGGAAAAGGGAGAGATGGAGGGAAGTGTGCTGAGGGCTTTAAATGGGATTTCAGAAGAGTTCTAGGGCTGGGAGAAAAGTGTCTTGATAGCTTGTCCTCCAAAGGCAGGGAGGAGCAGATGGGAGGCATGAAACAGGCTAGCGTTGGTGGAGGCCAGGGTTGTTGATGGTGGGGCATTTGAAGGTAAGGATGAGGATCACAGTCGATCTGTTAGGACGTAGGTTGCCATTGGAGCTGGGGTGGGACTGGGGTTACTGGCCTGAGAAGCCCAGCTTGGCCGCAGAGGTTTGGATGGTCTGGAGTGGGTGGAGCCGAGAGGGCGTTTTAAAATCATTACAGGTTGCTGATCGATGCTGAAGATTTTCAGATTTCCCTTTAAGTTCCTGGGTCATGTTTTTTTTGTGCCATGTGTCTTGCTCACCAATCTTGCTGCGTCCACACAGCAGAGGCAGAGGGTGTCTTCTTGCATTTTTGCAATGTAAAGACCGCTCTCACTGCCTGCTTTTGTTACAGCGATGGTTTGAAGGACGGCGTCCAAAGAAACCAAAGCTTTTAGTTTGCTCATTGGCTAGAGAAGTTGTTTTAAATAGTTGTGGCGATAATAGTGTGGTAGCAATGTTTTATGTGGATTTAGGGCAAACCTGATGCTACAGCTGTTAATTCAGTTTCCTTACTCCCGCACGCTTGATAATTATCCCCCCCCAAAAAAAAAAAAAAATTGGTCATTTCAAACCATGGCTGTTTGTGGGACACTGCTGTGCGCAATTGGCTGCTGCGTTTCGCCCACAAAAACAGTCAATTCGCTTTACAGTCTATTCTGTGAAGCACTTCGAGACGTCGAGAAGACATGAAAAGCGCTATATCAAATGCAAGAATTATTCTTTATACTGTGATGCAATGGTCTCACATTCCAGCATAAGGTTAAGCATTTGTTTGATTTGAAACTAGGATACAGTGCAGTAACTGTTTGTTTTGTAGTCTCACATCATAATGTGTTCATTGTTTCCACAGCTGATGCACATTGTAATAATCACTCAGCGAGGAGCCAGCTCACTGGTATGTTACTTCTTTAGTCTTGTTTCCTTTAACGACCCGAAAGCAAGTTTTATCTGTGTCGTGCTTCATTCTTAAATGCAGCATTCTTACTATTTTTAAGATGTAACAATCCCCTCTTTTTGTTCACAATCCTGATTTGTGTGTGTGGTATCCAAGAGTACCAACGAGGAGCCTGCTCTCAGATGTTTGGGGATGACTCTCTTCCATGCACAATATATGGGGACTTTGCCTGTGCACAACTTTAATGCATGTGAGATTGGGAGGGAAAACGAAACACCTTACAATCTGTACTATCTTTCCAATGGCACCGAGATGGACAGTTGCCTCATTGTGTAAACTGTTTGTAAATAACTCTTTGACGAAGTACATTTTCCTTTCATTTTCAGATTTAGCTTCGCTCACATTTAACTTGTCCCACGAAGAAATATTTTATGCTCGTGAATGTCATCACTTTTTGACTGGGATCATCCTGGACTCCTACACGTTGAAGGATCCTCAAAAGATTACTTGGGAAATTCTACACTTGGTGAACATTCTCTGGGTAAGAAACATTGGCAATGGAACTGAATGAATTTATTTAATTAGGTGTTTGCAAAACGTTCAGTTTTATTTTCCCAGACAAAACAGATACCACCAGAAAAATTTGTGACAAAATTGCTAAATATGAAGGCCTTCAGAAACCAAAAGCAAGCGCATGAGAAGCTGGTAAAATGGGTGAAGGTAAGAAACTAAATATCTGGATCAAAGAATGAAATGCAACTAAGATTTGAATCCAAACCCCAGTTCACTTTACACTGGGCTGGATTTCCCTATGACAGTGAGTCATTTGAGCACGCAGCAGCCTTGAGAGATACCTGTGTCACTTCAGAACATCAGGGCCGATCGTTTCGGTTGGATGTGGAGTATTGTCTGTGTATATTACTTGCGAAAAGGAACTGTGGTTAATGTCAATATAATGGCATCTATAGTTCACCCACAACATGTAGAGAAATTCACAGTATATTCTGTGAAGCTTTGAGACGTCTTGAATATATTATCCGTCTTGTATATTATCCAGAATAATTTGATTTGCCACAATTTGAGGGGTGCTTATAAAAATCTTATTAGAAGTGCACATTGTCACTTGTGACATTAAGTTGTAATAATAGTTTTTAGCCAAGCTGGCAGTTCACAATAATGAATTTTTTGAAACTAAATTAGAAAACATTCAAACAAGTTACCTTGCCCTGAACCTACAAAAGTTTGAATTATTTATTTGCTATAAATAGCTGATGTCTTAAATAATTACACAAATCCCTCCAGTTGTTTATCTCTTTGTTTAGGATTAATTCAGTGCCTTTCTTGCACATTTGTTAATTCTTGCAGATTTTAGAATGTTAGTAAAACTCTGCCTGGTATACTAAATAATAATTGGTCTAATAGATTTCATTGCATTCTTTTATTTTTCTAGTTGACTCTACCATTTGCTCAGAAGTACAGCCAATGCATGGAAATATTGTTGAAGAAAGGATATTATAAATCTGTGTCATTTTCAATGATAGGAAACTAATTTCCAAATGTCACTGTAGAAATGTACATAAGTCCAAATCTAACTATTCATAGCAATTAATTATTAACTAGATTTTAAAACTGCTTAATTGTACTTAGAATGTCAAAATCTGCAGTATGGATATTCAGGAAGTAAAACTGGTCAGTACTGTGCAATAATCACATCTACTTTGCTCTTTTACCACCATTGAATCATTTGTAATGAAAAGCATAATTAACTTTCTCTATTGACTAGTTTTTACAAGTCTGCCTTATGTGTAACTCTAGTTCCGGCCACAAGAGGGCTCTTAAATGATAAATGAATTTGTCAGCAGTGTTTACAAAAATATAATTATATTCCAATGTTAATGTTTGGATCAGAGGATAGATTATATGATAAAAACAAGGTAAGTGATTTTTTTCAATGTTATTGCCTATCTAGTCTTAACCAATAAGAAATTATGATCAATTTAGCAGTAAATGTTCCACTTTTAAAAGCTGCACTAACTTTTTAATAAATAATCCAGCAAGTTTGCTTTTCTGTTGTGAATCTTTATTTAAGCATTGTAACAACTTTAATCCGTTTTTTAAAAAAGATAACATGCTAATTGCTGTGCAGTGACCCCTGCTCCATGTGGCTTTCTCTACATACAGCTGGTTAGCTGAGTGAGAATACAGATCTTGATCAGCTGTTGAAACACCTGATTGTAAGTTAAACTCCATTGTTCTCACTCAGTCACAGAAAGGAACTCAAACTGTTCCATATGTCTGATCTCGATGGCAGATAGCAAGTGAGAAAATGCAAATCATTAGCTATGTATTTTTTAATTCTATCAAACAGCTGGAAGAATGTACAGAATAGTCTTATCTTGAAACAAAGCAGTTCACATTTATTAAATACTGAAAACTTAATATAGAGGAGAGTATATTAAAGTCAACAAAACAGAGTGACATAACAGGAATCCAGTCTCAGTTTAATGCAGTCAGTACATTAACAGTGGCACTTCAGTGATTTCCCTGCTTTGCTAGTAATTAACATAGAAAAAAAAGTCATCTTCTCTCTCCCCTGAAAACTCCAGCACCACTGGCACTAAACTACTTAATTATGTACATGTTTTACATAACCAAAGAAAGATTTCTAATTTATTTAGTGAGATGAATGCACTAAGTTAAATGCTGAAATGGGAACAAAGCTCCTCAGTCTTCAGTAATTTGGTTAGTCTCACTTTTTGTTAATGCTAGGTTCCAGCTGATGTTTCAGCCAGTGACAAAAAATGTCTAAATATGTAACATCAAATCTTGTTGAACAGTTATAAACTAATCCCACTAAGTTTATCTACCTGCAGCTAGACATAGTTAACTGTCAAAATCTAAGTAAACCAAATGGACATTGATAAAACAAGTTTCCACAGAAATGTTAAGTATTTACAGCCCCTGTCAAGTTGATGAACAATAGGAAGAATATTATGTCATTTGCCAAATACATATATAAAAACCAATGTAGTAAATGTGGGTTCTCTGGGCAGTCAGTCCAGGTGCACAACAACCAATAAACCTTCTTCAGCGAGGCCTGGACTGCTCTTCAGTAGTTCTAATGGGTTGCAGTTGCTTTTCCAGTGATAAATGAGCACAGGATCAAATCTGAGAAAAGTACACATCTTATTTGAATCAAACTTTTCATTTGTTGTATATCAATGTTAGGAAGTGAAATCTACACTTTGTTTTTGCATCAAACACTTCCTCCCCTTCTGTTAACCCTAAACTTAACAGAATTCTGTTCTCCCAAGCAGCCATCCTTTTGGAATGACAATGTCAATTTGATGTTGGGTCATACAGTCTGGTTTATAGTTTTGTACAGGTAAACTTGCATAGGTCAGACCATAACATGACTTGTACAAAGCTTGTCAGTATCTTATTACTGTAATATCAGCTTTCATAGTTCACAAGAGGTAAGAGGACAAGGGTCACTTTAAGAGATGCTGTAAATCAGGTTTGGAATCACATTATCCCTGAAGTGAAAGCAAGTTTTTTAATCAATCGTCACTCTGGATAATACGTGCCAAATATATTCTAGAGAAATAGAATGGGCAGGCAAAGAGATGGGGTAATGACAACTAAAGCCAACGCGATTCCCAAAATGAGAGCAAGTAAAGACAAATGTGGCTCTGCAAGCGAACAGAATAAAATAAATAAAATGGAAGACTTCTGCAGGTCAAAGAAGAAAATTCCAACTAAAAGCAAGACCCACTTACTTAGTTAGGCAGGAGGACAGAGTACAGCAACGCTTACACCATTGTGGATGGGCTAACGGTAATTTGATCAGATTTCTGCTGAGGAAAGTACGAGAGTTTAGAGAAAGCAGTTACTGACCAGCACCCAAAGGAGAGAAATGAGAATAGATTTCTTGTTAACAGAGCTTAAGCATAAACTATTTTCCACCGTGCATCTCGTGATACTCCAGTTGAGGATGGGTTTAGTGGCTCAACAGTTATTATAGCAACATTCATGGTGGGGGGATACCTAAAAATGCTGAGAGCTTGAGCTGGAGGACAGGGGATACAGCTTAACCACTTTCTATTTTAACATTGGTTTCCATACTTAAACCCTGGTTACACAGCAAAAATTAAAATGAACTATTTTCTCTTATCGTGGGTATGTGTCACAGATATTTGTATTAGCTTTGAAGAGTTAAAAAACTCAACCAAATCAGCTTTATGAATAGGATCAAGTAACACTTACCGCTGAAATGTACTGGCTGTTGGAGAATTGAGGCTTGTCCTCCAGTGGAGAAGTGGTGCTTGAGCTGTGCCGGGATCCTGGGAGTGAATATGAGGCAGAGATATCGGATGGAGGGCCTGTCTCTTCTGACAGGTTTTCAGGAAGGAGACTGGATACACAGCCACTGTCAGACCCACTGGAGCCACTGCCTGACATGCATTGGAATGAAGACTCTGAGCTCTCAGTTGCTTGAGAAGAATAGCAAGAACATTATTAGTCAGTCACATTTGAAGAAGCTGTCTGAGAATAACATATTGATGCTTGTCAGGCAAAGTTCAAAAACTTGGATTGGCCTTTTAAAGAAATACAGATTTTTATAGATGTCACACAATGTCAGTAAAGCCCAACAGACCTGGTGATCTCTTGTACCTAATAATAATTGGCATTCCTAAATGTACAAATATTTATTTATGTGCATATGGTTCCACGTGCAGCTGTGGTTTGGATAAAATGAGCTCATTTATTACAATGCTGCAAACCACAATTGAAAAACTCCTGGAATGTGTGACAGTGGGTGAGAAACAGGGCACCAGTCCTCCATAGAAATGAATTCTTACCCAATCAAATGTACAGTTCTATGATATACATTACTAAGTGCAGTTAGGCTCTCTAACACCATTCTTTGTCATGTCAAAGGAAATGAACTCTTGGTTGAGTAGTTCGGTTTTAAAAAAACAATGCCCCCATTTCAGATCCCCATTATTTCTGGTTTTCTGGGAACCTGTGGTGGTGGTAATTACAGAAATAAGCCATGTACTTAACCTCAATAAAGGCAACCATTTTAGCTCAGAAACCAATCCCAAACTCCCCAACCTAGAGTCTGGGTACTGCTTTCCAGGATGGAGCAGAATTCATTGTCTGTAGGGAATACACTCCTAGTCTTTTCTCTGTGGGAGAAAAGTATCCATCTCAATATGCACAGAGTTGATTTCCATTCAAACAATAATATTCTGCATACTTAGGATGTCACCTAGTTCTGTAAGCTCACATGCTTGTTTCAGAATTTTAGCTACAAAACTACCCTCCCTAAAGAGTGGGGTTAAGAATATCTTATTGTCACTGAGTCGAACAACATGCACTTAGAACAGGATTTCCCTGTTGTACATCAAAGTTGTTACTTTTACAAGGAATTTCTCCAACAAATCCTTATAATAATTTTAGCACCAGTAAAAGTTACGTGAAAGTCAACAGCACAAGACACAACCAGTCGCTGAACATGGAAAGGTTGGACAAGTGTTGGATCTTGTAATTTGCCCTCAGAAAACATGGAGGACTACAGTTTGACCCAAGTCAGCCATGTACCAGTTTTACTTTAAGTATGACACAATGGAACATGATTTTTAAGGTAATAATTATAAAAAGATGGAGCACTTACTCATGGAAGGTTGACTACTTGTTTCATGTTCCAACTCATCCTCCTCAATGCAAGTGTTGGGGTCAAATGGCCGGCCACTGGCCAGTATGGAGTTCACTCCCGACAGCAGAGGCTGATTTGTGTACATGTGCAGGTTGAGAGGACCTAACAGTGAGGATGAGGATGGGCCACTGGCTGAAGGACTATTGGTTTTGGAAACGGCCTGGGTCCTCCTGAATGGATTGGTGTGATCAAATAACGATACTGCAATCGAAGCCCTGGTTCTTGCTCCTGTAAGAATGTGAAACTTTCAATATTCTAGAGATTTTATTTCAACTCTGCAAAACAGACTACTAAATCTCTCTACATTTCAGGGAGCAAAAGAATGAATAAAAATGCATCTTTATACATTTACACTTATAAAACTGCACACGGAGTATATAAAAATGTGCTCATCGGGCATGGATTATTGAGATATTCATAGTCACTCTGCGTTTTGGTTGCATTGATTGCAAATCATCCCCATGAATTATAACATTTATCTGAGCTAAATGTCAAAGTTATATTATTCATCTTTTCAAAGCATAAGAAGCGCCATCATGGTAATGTGTTTGATTCTGACCTGAATAGGTAACACTCTGACCAGTTGGGACACTGCTCTGTGAATCTATACCTCTGACTTAATTTCATTTGCTTGCAATAAGCAAATGTGTGTTGCAGTTTAACTGGAATCCTTGAAAGGTTACTTCTCCTAAGAATATTTACCGACATTCATGTGAGACGTGCATTATTTCAGTCAAAGCACATAAATATGTAGGACTCTCTAGTGTTTACTTTCATTTATATACAAAATCAGAATAGTCTGAGAAGTAAAAGATTTTACACTCTACACATATTCATCTACAATGAAATAAATTCACAGCAAATTGAATTATTTTATTTTAGAAAGGTCCTGAAGGTCTAATAATGGTACTATTTGTCCACTGCTGTACTGATTGTGTAGTCACGTCAAAAGCCTTCACAAAGCTTACCTCTTCCTTTCATAATGTAGTCAATGGCACGGTCATTGATAGCAGCCTCACTTGGTTTGATGTCCAGGAACGGCTTGTTACCAACTCCCATAGATACCATTTCCTGCATTCGTACCTCTGAAAGGGAGATATTCCTCATTGTCAGGCAAACTGGTGCAACACACGCATAAACCTTATACAAAGAATACAGCACTTGAAATAATTAGTGATGTTTATTCATCTATCAAACAATTATTTGTGTTCATGGTTATCAATGATAACTTTTGTTTAAAACCTGATCGCTGATCTCTTCTATGTTTACTGTGTTTAAAACGTACAAAAATAAAGCCATACTCCATTTTGTAAACAGTACAAAAAGGAATATTTCTTGAAATCACATTAATTATGATGTTCAAATTAGTTTCAAAACTGTCTATTTAAGCAAAACAACATTATATTTTGTAACTGAAGCATCAACTCAAAATAATGAACCTACTCAAATATATTTACCTTTATTTCTGGTAGCTTGTTGCCACAGAATCTTTGCAATGTCATTTGCCCAGGCGTGTTTAACCTCCTGCGAACTTGCCTGCAGGATATATGTATCGTTGGATTTCCGCCGACGAAACCAGATTTCAAAACGTAACCCACTCTCTCCAGATGTTTCTGTTAGACCGATGTCTGCCGTCTACAAAATAGGAAGAATCTATCACATCACTCCTCTGAACCTATGTAATCAGGTTTAATAAAGCACGGGTTTAAGTAAGGGAAAAACTTCAAAAAGATCTTCATTAGCTCATTGCCTGAGATGCCAGATGATTCTTCACACTGCTTCTCACCTGCCTTTATTTCTCCCAACCAAAATGTGCATCTTAATTTTCTATTATATTAAGGTAGATAAAACCTCATTACAAGTACAGTCATCACTGTGAGGCGTATTGTTTCTACATTCTGCACAGCTACAACTAAATTGCCAGAAGTATCAGGACACACTTGCTACTAACCCATGAAGTACCAGGGTGGTGGAAACAGATTCAATAACAACTTTCAAAAGGGAATTAGATAGGTACTTGAAAAGGAAACATTTGCAAGGATAATGGGGAAAGAGCGCCGAGTGAGACTGATTGGGTAGGTCTTCCAAACAGCGGGCACAATGGGCTGAATGGCCTCCTCCTTTGATATTCCTTGATTCTATGAACTACGAGATTAATTTACAGTGAGATTATTCAACATTTTCACAGCCTTACTTTGAAGGAATGTTTATAGATATAGACATCAAACCCCCCATCGATTCGCTTGGGCTTGCTGAAGAGAACCAGATCTTCAAACAGAAAGACGTGTCGCTGATATTTCTTGCGTCCACACCAGATGATAAACTCGTCTTGGCGAACCAATTGCCCCTGTTCTTTTAAGTTCACCTGTTTGAATAGAATTTAAATGACTTCATTTTATTAACATGCTGTGTCATTAAATACATCTTTCATTTCTAAATATTTAATTTAAAAACAATACTCCATTTACAACTTGTTCCTCACTCCATTTCACAATTAATTGCTGAGCATTCAGCCCTCGCCTTCTGGAACACCTAAATTCCTGACACTATATTTCTCCCTCTTGAAAACTCTTCTGACCATGCTACTGATTGATATCCCTAAACTTCCCCTGCTTTTCATCCCTCCTCAGAGATCCCCGTAGTCTTTGTGAAAAANTGTTTTGAAATATTCATCTTGCAAGAAATATGCTACATAAGTGTAAGTTGTTTTCAATTTGGGTTTAACACAATTCGGTTTTCCTCATAACATTTTTGTGTTGCTTGACAGGCAGCACAACAACAACAACTTGGGCATATAGCACAAATTAACACAAACATTGAATGCACATCAATAATTGCTTTGGAAAAGAGGGAAAGCCAATATTTGTAGACACATTAAAAAGGCCCCTTTTCAGTCAACAATCAATCATATCAAAACATCCTCTACATTTATTGGGATAATAAATCACAGAACCATATAATTGACTCACTGTAAGCTTTCAATTCTATTTCAGTATCTGAGGAATATTGCAAACATTTGAACATTTTATACATGTAGGAGAAAATGTTTTCATACTCCAAATGTCAATCACTCCACATTGTATTGTTTAGGAGTTAGTGATTTTTAACAAATGCAGATTATCCGGATTACAGAGATTCATTTATATTGTTTATTTTTTATGGAATAAAGTGTCATTCTCCAGAAGGAAGATTTGATCTTATTAAAGGTTTTTCAACAACAACTTGCATTCCATATTGTCTTCTCATAGGATAATGTCTCGGAGCGCTTCACCTACAAAGTACACAGTCACTACACTTCATAGTAAATCCTGTGAAGCACTTTGAGATGTTCTCCACTAAACTACTCATTTATCAGACCACCTGAAGCAAACAAAAAGCTTACATCACAATCCCTGATAGCATCCATTGCCAAAAGATCATTGCCATGTTGCAGCTGAAATTTAACCATTTCTTCTGCTGCTCTGAGGTAGTTCAGCTCCTGTTCCTGGGCTTCACTGCACTCCTTGATCAAATCCTTTAGCAATAGAGCATATTTACTCATCCGTTGGATGGGTTTCAGAAGGTAGGAAGCTAGATTCATCTTATCACCCAGTTGTAGTTGCTTGAACTAAAGAATAAAATGAGAGAAAGTAGTGAGAAGCAATAAAGACACCAAACACCATTTTAAGAGAACTAAAGTATATAAAAAAACTTATATTAAATATAAAAACATTTGGCCCAGAAAAACTAGTAAACCAAGACAAACACTAGATTGAATACAATCTCAGCTCATATGAACTGTCCTCTAAAATTAAAAATGATCAGTACCTCCACAAGCTGCATCAATGCACTGATAAGTTGCAAAATATAAACAGAATTGTTTTACAAAACATTTTCTTGGTGTGATTTTATTAAACAAATGCCTGTGAAGGTTCAGAGAAGAGTAAAAACAGATGAAAGGTCAGAGGGCTAAAGTTATTTTCAGGATAAAAAAGGATGGCCGTGATCTAAGTTATCTGAAATGTTGGCAGACTGTGAATGTGAGAGTGGAATTAGGAGCATAGATAAAAATCCTCAAGCAATGAATTAGCTGGATTAGAGAATTATTTGTGCGATAAAGTTATGCACATTTGGAACAGACTTCATCTTAGTCCAGTCAATAAGTCAATGGGAGCAGCAATCAATGCAGAATGAAATGAACACATTCCATGGAACAAAACAACTGCTGTGCTTCCAGAGCCAGGACAAGGCTAATGTGGAGAAGGAAGGGAGCCAGGATTGCATAACGTTAATAGATGAATTATTTGGTGCTTTTGCTCATTTGGGGTTCCAGGAATATCTATACAATATTTTCCTCAGGAACTGGAGAGAAGTACATTTTAGGGTAAGTTTTGATTGGAAGAAGCAGCCCTAACGACCTTCCATTCCATCCTTTCTTAAATTCTTATGTTATAGGAATGGATATCCAATGCTTACCTTGAAGAAAGTGTTGCCGTGGCTGGCCAGTAGGGCATCTGATTTAGGCTTGTTCTTACTATACAATGCATACATGCCAAACTGGTCTTGCTGAAAAGATAACGCAATATAATATTATAGCATGCGCCATTTTATTTATACGTGATGCTTTTTTTAACAACAACAAATTGTATTTATATAGCGCCTTTCAGTTGGGATGATGTCCCAAGGCACTGGACAATCAAGGGTTTACACTCGAGTTGAGGGTTGGAATCAAAAAGCATGTAGAGCAAGTGGGGTAGGAGGATGACCTAAAAAAAAGTACGAGTTTGAAGTAACAATTCCCTACTCAACAACACTTTCATAAAGAAAAATTAAGTGGGAAAGATATTAACTATATTTTACTAACTATTGATTAGATTTGTATTCATTTATGTCACTCTGACCTTTCAGCACTACAGTGCTTGGAGTGATTAATTCATGGTCATGTTTCAGTGGGAAGTACAGAAAACAAATATCTGAATCCTAAATGGTAACTTTCAAACGTGTACAAATAATAAAGATCACTAACCATGTAATGTCCTTTTTATGCTTTGAATAAGGACATCCTCCACACAATGCTGGGTTACAATAACTCGAGGGACTAAAAAACATGGGAAAAAGGTCACAAGGACCATATTGCTTTAAGAGCTTGTGATACCATGACTTTGGGCTGCCTGCTTCCTTGCACCTCAAATGGAGATCCTTTCCATGACTGAGTCAGTTTGTTTTTAACTAAATGTTACAGGAAAAGATTGTCAGGTTCTGCATTTGCCCAAGATAATCGAATAGCAGGATAGGTGCAGAGCATGTGGACAATGCCCTCGTTCAACAATAAAAAAAGATCCTACAACCCTGCTTCATCCAAATCGATCTTGTGAAATGGCTAAATGGGTTTCGCAAGACACAAGGATACAAATGCTTCCCTGATGGACTTTTCCTGCGCTTATGAATCCGTAATTCTAATGCCCATTCCTAGGTTAAGAGGATGGGTAGATAATCTGCACGTTTGTGTTTGCTATGAAAACAATTTATCCTCTCATTTTCTCTCCCTGTTCGGAGTTAAGTGTATTGGCTCCCCATGACAACACAGCTCAATTATTCCAACATACAGTAGAATCCACTATTTATAACAAAGGTGGATTTCACACAGACAGGACTCATTTGGAATTACTACACTGAAAAACAGCAGCATAATAACCAATTAAAGAACAACATTGGTTCATGCAAATTGTATATGGAGGCTACAAAATGAAAACCAACAGCGAGTTTGGTAATCCAGTGTTTCGCTTCGCTGTGCATTCTTTGAAAGTATTAGTCAGATGACATTCCTAGACTGTAAATCCCGGTTAACTGGAGCAACTCCAGTACAAGTTTCTCTATTGTAACTTGCTTCAGTGGAGCCTAGATGAGTTTGATAAATTGAATGCAAGGCATTAGCACACTCTGAAAACTTGGCATGCTGCTATTACAGCATACATGCTTGCTAGCAGAAAGGGACCTGTAAAAATTCTAGCATGTTTTAACACTACAGTAGTTTAGCCCAGGCATATCAGAGGTTTAGTCGACCTGTCATTTTGAGTTATGCTGTAGATTACTGCTACAACATGTTTGTTTACAGCCAGAAACTCTCTTCATAGGCAGTCCTCTTATAATTAACCTAATTAATCTTAAATTCTGAGGTACACAGGAAAAAAAAGAAACAGATCATAATTCAGCTATGTTGATTTGTGGACAATGAATTTCTCCAAGTGTAGATGTTGAATCTGCATTGTGGAATATGAGTCAGAATGACTCTGTGGAGCTGACAAAGGCCAGGCAGGGGTTGGACCTGGGAAAATCTAATGAGCTCCTTCCGTCCCCTGCAGACAGCCAGACAGCTGTGCCTGTCGAATGCTCGGCACAGTGTGCCAAGTACCCCAAGTGAAACAAGAATACAAAACAGAGCTGAGTTGCAGTGCGTGTGATTCAGTGTATATTGGTTGCTACCAGTTCTGTGAAGAGTATGTATGACTGCCTAGAAACTCCCCAAATTGCAGCATTAGTCATATTAATCTACAACTCTGACAGAACGTTATAAAACTTAAGACATAAATAGTTGTACTTTTTGACATGACGATGAAAGTATGAGTTTGCAGTAGGCAAACAAAATCTCTATAATTCGGACATTAGGTAAACATTTACGACCAAAATATTATGGAGCCTATGTTAGAGGGAGTCACTTGGCCAGGGTCAAGTGCTCTCTGCTGGACAAGTTGATTGCTTTTCTCTGTACCTCTCAACATGAGCTCTCAAGAGTTGAAAGTTATCATCTATTGGTCATATGGGACTCCACTAGGTTATTATAATTAACCCTTTGCCAAGCACAAGCTTGTAGGTTAAGTGCATTTGGGAAACACAAAGTTATTAATCGTTTATCTCTTCAGTCTGTACTTTGTGACGTCCTCCCGACGTGAAAGGCACTATACAAATGTAATCTTGTTGTTGTTGCTGTTGTTGGTGGTCCTATGTCCCTCATTTAATTCACCAACCTGGTTTTCAACTATGCTACCATAGAATCCAAACAAGTCTACATGTCAAATAGAACTGCGCTCAACAGCTCCATTGTCAACTGCCAAAAGTTGAGGAAGGTAAGCCAAAATGCTTCTCAACTCTGTCTGCTTCATCAAAATCTCCTAAAAAGCATCATACATCATAGCAGTTTTCTACTAAATCTGGTTCTTGATTTCAACAGTTTAAAATAAATGTTTTCTTACATGTCTCAGAAAGCAGTGGCTGACACGAAGTGGATGATTAACACAGCTTTCCAGCTCTTTCAGGAAATACTGGCTGTGGAAGTTGTACAGTTTCTCTAGGTTTCCAAAAATAACACTGCGCTTCCCTCGCAGATCCTGAGGAAGGTCGAAACGTTCCATCTCTGGGAAGTAGTTGTCGATGATGTACCTGAGAGATTTCACATATTCACGTTCTGTTGTAACCATCTCATCAATAATGTGCCTCAGTTTGCTGCAATGAAAACATATTTCAGTGTTTTAAAACAGATTTCTCAAAATATAGGCATAAAAGTATTTTTAAAAATATTATACAGTACTAATAGCATAGCGAAATATACTAACAAATAAGGTTTTTTTAGTTTTTACCACTGAATTCTTGAGAACATTCTGAACATATGAAATAGATAATATTTTAATGGCCTCCATATGATTAAAATCTTGACACCATTTTAGATTCTCTAACATGGAAGAGCAAATTCTCTTCCAATACAGAGCAAATTCTACTTGGCAAAGATGTAATATAAATGTGTTATTTTACTACAATATACAGTACTTTAACAAAACACTCTTTCAATTCATTTAGATGATTTAATATATTATTTTAGAACAATATTAAACCTTCCTTGGTTGTGATATATTATTTTACATGTCCTAATTTTTGTATGTTTTGTATATTTGGTAAGGCTGTTGAATATTTTAGGATATTAGACTCCTATTACTGTATCAACTTGTCACCAGGGATTTAAAGCACATCCAAAAAGCTAATTAATAGTCCTCCAGAGTGCTTGAACATCTGCTTCATTTACTGAACTGCGTATGATACTGTTTGATATAATGTCTCCAAATAAGTTGTGATTCTCATTTCATACATTTATTTAGTAATAAATCCTTTTCTCCATTCAGCCTGAGTTTTCATTAAAAAACTCTATGAGAACTAATAGTATCTTTTTGTTACCGAGACAATAAAGCCGAAGTGCCCTTCAGTGTCCGAAGCTGCCAGTTGCATGAAGTAACTGTTTACACTGTGGAGGAAACTTAACAGAAATGGGTGCAACAGTCAAATGTTTGTGATGCACAACTTTCCCTGATTACTGGACAAGGATCCTACAGGCCAGCAACACAAACATAAACAAACATAAACCTAATTGGTTACCCCACCTGCACCCATAATGGCAACACGGCCAGAGGCAGTATGAAATACCATTTATCTTGTTGTCTCAAGGTGTTGCGAACCGAACCACCTCTTGAAAAGGTACTTTGTGCTTTTGAAAGCAACGGTGCCACTTCATTTATGTTGTTGGTCTGCAATCACTATATCATTATACTGCACTTTAGAAACTAGAATGCTGTAAAATAATATGGTACATGTGCTGAAAAAATATTATTGCCAAAGTTCATAACATTGAGCACAATAACAATTCTCAGGCCAGTACAACTGGATATTCTGCAAGTAACCAAAAAATACTGTTGCCTCCATTTCTGACTACAGTGGATATGCACCCACACTACAAAATAGTTCATATCTGTGACTTCAGCAGAAGCTGTACAACTTTAATACAGTAAATGTCCTGTCTGAGTTGGCTTTGGACTGCTACTCTGCCTTTCTTGTCGCACAGCTTTCTTTAAGCACCACAATAAGAGTAATTAAGTTCAGTCATAAGTTAGCCTGGGAAGAGGATGACATCACATTGCTGCCATTTACTGGCGCCAGGCTTAAAAAATGGTAGTGAATAAGCACCAAAAGATTTCCTGCTGAGAACAATTCAATTAGGTTTTATTTTCCCAAATCATATGCCTCGAATCATGCTCAAAGCCCTCCCACAGGTTCTGTGCTCAGACTCTTCATCATTCACTACTCTGTTTTTACAATGAATCTGACAGGGAGGCATTGACTGGGCTCCTAAACATTCACTTACCACTGGAAAGTTAGCCAGTGAGTTTGTGAGTTTTTATACCAAGGGAAAAAATAAATCAAACAACAAAGTTTGGGAATTTGTTTAGTGTGTTCTTTGCCTGTTCCTTTTATGAAATACATACTATTATTTTATTGGTTGGTTACAAATACATACTTGCATGGAGTTAAGTTATTGCATCTGAAAGTTAATCAAAAGCAATAAGATGCTTATACAATAAGCAGTAAAATGCAGGCTCCCAAAATTAATTTGTGCATTGCTCTTGCACATGATAATAAAAGATCTAGTTTCTGACTTGATTTTCTCTTTCACTAATTTCCTGTATAAATTTGTGCATAGTTGACCCTCCTTCAGAGAGTCAGAATTACTGAAATGAACAACACTCTTTTCAGATAGAATCATGCAAAGAATATTTAAAAATTGCAAAACTATCAGAGATTTTCGTCTCAACAGCTCAAAATCTGAAAGTACTCATAATAGTAATAAAGTAAATCTTTGATATAATGGTGTTAATATCAAATGTCTCAGTATACATCACAGGCAACTGCTGTCCAGTGTAGTGACTGTACTTCTTGGCAAATCTGGCAGTCAATGTGTGTACAGCAAGTTCCCCCAAAGAGGCATGATGCGAAAGACAAATCTGCCTGGAAGATTGTTGGTCAGGACACATTCCAAAATTAAAATAAAATCTGAAATAGCCAACTATTACACAACTGAACATTACATTCTGAATCAAATTAATACCCACCTGCCCTTTGCTTTGGACTCTGATGATGGAATATAACTTCTGTGACCATCTGTCTGGTTTCCAGTCCAACTAAACAATGCGTGCTGCCTGGATGTACAAGTTCTTTCATTAAGTTCAGTGCTGCTCACTTCTAGTCCCTTGATGAACACACCGGTGTTTCCACGCCTTGCAGGTTCACTGAAAGTTCTTTGACATGAAGTGTACTTGAAGGTATCATTGGGGGAAAGATCAAAGCTCTGAGCCTTCCTTAATACCCTTTTTAAATATTGATTCTGAGAACCTGGCGCAGAGTAACACCGAGATTGTGTATGAAGAGGGTTAGCTGCACCATCGTAGTTGGATTCTTCGTTACATATATTGTGCATCTGTCCGTGAGCATCTGGGGTTGATGTACGAACAGAAGCACAGGCTCGCCCTGCTATCATCTGATCGTAGCCTTGAAAACTGGGGGTAGAGCTTCTGCTATGAATAGCTTCAGGTACAAAATCATCCTCATTGTTCATGATTCCATAACAAGCTGAAGGATGTGGTGAGTGTTTGTCTTTCTGCCACGCACCACAATGCGACAACCTGCTGCTGAGAGAATACATACTGCTGTTTAAGCTTGCATTACTCCTTTCACACTGTAACCTTTGTTCAGTACCATCTGAATGTCTCCTTTGGACATTCTCGCTCTTTGTGTTATCTGAGTCAGAGAGGCTACGGTCTGATGGTAGAGACTTTCTTGTCCTCAGTGCAGCCTCTAGCTTCTTCTCAAAGATTAGCTTGGTCTCTTGACATTTGGACCAAGCAAACTTCCACTGCTTCAACCCCTTCTCACTCTTTAAATCACATGCCAATTCCTTCATTTCCTGAAACTTTGCCTCTGGAATCTCTGGATGTTGATGATGATGATTTTCCAGATATCTCACAACTGGTCCACAGCGCTCCGGAGAATTGCAGTCTTCCATGCTGATACAGGCAAGGTGTCTCATCCCTTCTAGGGCCCACTCATAAGCCTGGAATAAAGACAAGTCAAATTAGCAACCAAATAGTTAAAAAGAGATTTCTGACACGTATGATGAATAAGCCATTGGTAACTGAAAATGAATGTGTAAAAGAGGAAACAGTTTGACTACAAAACACATCTTAGTACAAACATATTTTATTTGCACTGAAAGGTGCTTATTATAAGCGAAACAAATTACTCACTACATACAGTTAGTGATGAACATAAGTAAATATATTTTCTATTGCTGTGAACTGTGGTAACATTGACTTTCTATTTTTAAACCAATTGTTTAATTGACAATTATCATGGTTTACAATGTCTAAACATTTGTTGTGCAATTGTATTAGAGATCAAAGAACAAGATATTGAATCAGTTGTACTCGGGTGCCCTCTGCAAGGGTTACGACCTAACATTTAAGCCAAGTTGAAGCAAAGATGTTTTCTTTACAGCTGTTAATAGTCATTTTTAGCAGTTTTTTCTTCTCTCTTTTCAACTACTTTACATATCCTGCAATTATCCAGCCTGCATGTAAAGTAAAGAGAAATTCATTTAGATTTACCCAACGTGCTACCAACAGCAAACAGATTTGTTTTTTCAGGCCAAGGTGACAATGCTTTCCTTTTCTCTAGCAAACAATTCTCAGGATCTCTGTTCCCTGGGACTCAAACATGACCTCCTCTAAAGGGCAGATGTGAAACAACTGTCACATACCAACTATTTGACACGAGCTGCACTGAGTTACTGAACTCAATAGGCTATAAGCGAAATGCCATTCATCATGGTAAGATCGAAGAGTATAATAGTTCAGGATAAATATGCTTAACAAAAGGTCTTTCCGTCAAATACAACAGTGATGGAAGAGATGTGGAAATGTATCTGCACATGTTAATACTGAAATATAGCCTACAGCTTATTAAAAAAAACTGGATACATTTCTAGCAATGCTGAAAGAATATCACTCCGTTACCCTACAGAGAGTTACACAGAATCATGAGGCACAAAAACAGGTCACTCCAACCCCTTACTCCATACAACTTACTCCGTACAAGCACCCCCCCTCCTATTCCCTCACCTATAATTCTCTATTCACTATTTCCAATTACTTTATGAAACACATTTTTAATTAAAAAGAAAAGAACAAAACAGTATCTGTGTTCATCCCATTTTGCTTCTTAAAAATATAAAGTTTAATTCAAATGTAATTCAAATTAATTCAACATGGACTCCATTGCTGCAATCTCTGATTGTGTGAACTTTTTTCTGCACCTGCTCTCACTTTTCTCTCGCATAAATAAATTCTATTTTAAACCTTGCACCCAACTCTTCTTTGTTCCAACTCTTACTGTGCACTTGGGAAGCAAATAGAATTTAAAAAGACATTTTGAGGAGCTGAAAAATGCCCTTACTCTCCAGTCAAAAGCCCAGACCCAGTAGTTGGTACGGTCACATCAAAGATCCTAACAGCTTAGTAGCTGCCAAGTGAAAACATATCCAAACTGGTAACGGAGCGCACTCCTCATGACAACAGTGTTGAAATGAAGAGCTTTGCACATCTGGGATTGTAGCCACAAACCCATGTCCCAGCAATTAGTGGTACAGCCACCACTTGTTGGCCTTCCAACAATGCGCTGATTCTCAACATTTTAAATATGTTATTTACAGCAGAATAAAACACTGATTGGTAGCTAGTGCAAATGATATCTTCTCCACTCTTTATGCACATTAAGGACTCTTGTGCTTACTGCTTTTTCTTTTGTACTTTCGAAAGTTATAAAAGAGTTTTCTTAACTCATTGTACATCATCTACTCCAACGTATTCTTTCCTAGACACCACACGATTGTGGAACTCATTACCTTCCTTAACCTTCCCATTGTTCTTCAATACTGCCTTTAAAATCTTGGCTAACCGCTTTGTTTCAATTTGTTCATGTTTCTCTTCTAGTCTTTTGAACCTGTAGGTATTGGCCTTCCCCTAGGATTCTTATATCAAGACTCTTCAAGTTTCTTTGTTTTAAGTTTTTACAGAATATTCATAGGTAAATATTACTTAAAAACTTTTTAAAAAATTAATTCAAACAGCCCTGAATAAATACAGCACTAACGCTAACACTTAAGCAAATGCATCCCACTGTACAAGACCTCCACAACCTAATCATGAATTTCCTTACTTGTTGGTATGCCGGCCTCACTCTTGGAATGTCCTGTATATCCCATTATACGTTTTGCAAGGCTGGAGGAATCACAATTCTCAAGAATTCTACATCCACAAAAAATGTTTTTTCTTGCAAAAAGTGGCAAAGCCCATGCTGTTATCATGTATCTGCTGACATTTTAAAGTGATCATTGAAAGAATTTTAAGAGCAAGATTAAGACTTTCTTGCAAAAGCCTTCTGCAGAAGTGGTTAACGTAATGTGTTACGCATGAATGAGTAAAAAGAATAACTGAATAACATTATAATACTCAATCCACTATGACCTATATTTTAACGACTGTTAGGCCAAGAAAACATTAATTAGTGAAAACTTTGATCTAGCTCTCAGCTAGGACTAAAACCCAAACTTTGATGATAGGCTTTTAAATCAAAATGAAAGACAACATGTAATTGCATCTCTATAGCTGTCACAGATAGCAATATTTAGGGTCGGTGAAAATGTTTTTAAAAAAGTTTGTTGCTGGTTAAAACAGACAAACGTATCAGAATTACCACCATCACTGAAAATGAACATGAAGTTGGTCAGTGTTTGATAATCATTATTAATAGTTCACAATACAAGCAAATACACCTAAATAAATTAAACTAAACAGGTATCTTTTATTCTAGAGCAAATTTATATGTATCACAAGTTAGGGTAGCATATTCATTAGACAAAGGAAATCTGTGATATTAATTCTGTGTATAAAATTATGATGTGAAGACTGGAAAATGTAAATCAATATTTTAATCAAACAAAATGCTTGGGTAAACTGTAGTAAATTAGCTTGTAGCCCCAAAATAATAATGTTAAAGTAGAAGGATTTACAACTGCATGAAGCACATTTTGGAACATAAATGCTTCAAGTAAGCATTGAAAAACAGCATGCATTTTCATTTATGGATACTAACTTTAAATACAAGAAACACTGAAATATTTCATGCACTACTGAATACTGCTGTATAAACTTTCAACGATGAATGTAAAGTCAACTATTTGATTTTTCTACCATCAGTAACTCAAGTCACTGGCAATGGTGGCAATCATTACAATAAAAATGAGCATTGAAAAAAAAGACAAGATTTTTTTCAAGCTGTGACAGATGCAGGCCTTCCCCTCTAGGCATATGTTGTAGTTTTCTTTCATGAGTTGTAAAGAAATTGATTATACCCTAATAATCATATTAGAAATTCAAAAGGAATGAATGCCTGTGACTTCAGCAGATGTCCACAGGCAAATCCAATTCCGCTGCAATAGACAGAATTCAAAATGAACACGTTTTCAAAGTTAAAGAGCTGAATGTAATCAAAAAGCTGCCCAAATTAGAACCGTCACCACTTAAGGCTGATCAAGATCATTTATCATATTCTTACCAGTACATCCTACTAATCAACAATTTAAACAGATGTATTTAGCTTTATTTTTGTTGACTAACTGATTGATTCTTCACATATGAACTTGCCTTTCTTTGTCTAATTTTTGGTTAAAAACACGTTTTGCCAATCCATTCTGCTCAATGTCACGTATGTCAGATCATCGTTTAAGGTTGTTCACATTCGTTCAACAACTGGGTCTAACACAAATAAATACATTTCCAATGAAACTCCAACAGCAAAGCTTTCAGGAAAGTGAATATAATTCAAAACCTGCAAAATGATTCAGACTGATGGATCTTAAATATGCTCATCAATTTAAAAGGGAATGAATGCAGAGTTTACACCACTACACATCTCTCCAGATTCTATCTATACATTCAGAAGTTACAAGCCTCTCACAAAGACAAAGTCAATGGTTTCAAAAGCAAAATGTTTCAAAGAATACATGTATTTTTTGCACTGTAACCTGCCATCTACAGCTTTAGTTATCTTAGCTGTTGTATCATGTGCCATTACAGATCAATTCTTTATTCTTCATGAAATGGGATTTATAGTATTACAATTTTTTTATGATCTAATGACACATAAATCTTTAAACTGTTCCTAATACAACAGTTCAACATTGAATCATATTTCATAACAGATAATCACATGTGGTTGTTTCACCTGCACAATGAATCATTATTTGAGCAATGATATAATTAGTAAAGCTTAATTACTTATAAGGGTCAAAGGTACACTGACACAGCGTGAAAATATCTTACTTTTACAAATGATGCACAATTTACTAACACAACAGGAAACACTGCACCCCAGTCTTCATTATTTTCTATGAATTCTGAGTATATTTAGAATCAATTAGCACAAATCAGTTTGTAGGTACTGAATTTCATTAACTTCCATGAAAGATATCTATTGCAGTTTAGAGAATGTATTTAAACTCATATTCACTTTCTATTAAAGGCAAGCTTGTTCAGTTCATCTATAATTCAGCGCCTTGGGACGTCCTCCTGACGTGAAAGGCGCTATACAAATGTCATTTGTTGTTGTTATAATGCAATTTTCTATTTTTTATAACCTCAAGTCATTAGTACTGGCACCTTAGTCAAAAGGACACCCACATGAGAAGACAGCATTGGTTTTCTATTCATAAAATATTTAAATACCAATTCTCTTGGATATAAATGCAATCCAATGAACCTGATAGAAAACAGAAACAAATACAATAATAATTGAAATGTAATCTCTAAAAAACAGATGAAATGATAGACTTTAAGATAACTGTTAATTACAACATACGTATTCATTTAATTTTCAGCTGCAGAAGAATTAAATCAACACTGTATCAAAATGATCTAAAAAANTCAAGTTTGCAATTTATAAATGAAAGGATGCTGGGGATATAGCATGTCGGTGCATTACAGGCTATGCCTCAGA